GTTGTGTTTCTGCGTCAGGAGTTCAGTCTGTTTGAATGAGTTCAATTGCAAAGTAGCTGACGCACACACTAACCACACACACACACACACACACACTCTACCCGCCACTAACACACACAAGCACAGTCACAGACACATAACTCCACAAACACACTAACCACACACATACACACACTAACATAGTTAGCACACACAAGCACACAGTCACACACACTACCCCCCGACACACAAAAGCAGAGTCACACACACATATTAACTCCATACACACACACACACACACACACACACTAACACACGTTAACCACAAAAACACACAAAACTCTAGACACACTACATACACACTAACACACTAACCACACACACACACAATCACAGAGCCACACACACACATAATAACTACACGCGCACTACACTCACACAAACACGTTAACCACAGACACACACTACTCCCTTCTAACACACAAGCACACAGTCACACGCATAATAACTACACACACCACATACTAACCAGACACACACACACACAATCACTCCACACACTACACAGACACAAAAGCATACAAACACTAACACACTACACACAAGCACATTCACACAAATTCATACTAACCACACACACACACACCCTCTAGGGTGTCGGGTTCGCTGCTCCAGACTCACACCGCTGGCTCCTCCCACAGTGAGTCTGTTTGTGCTCTTTGTGTATAAGTGTTTTGTGTTTCTGTGCGCGTGCACGTGAGGGCGGGTCCAGTCACTCAGGTGTGAAATGCAGCAGGTGTGTGTCAGCTCGGCTCACCTGGAGCTGAGAGCCTCTTTTTCCTGCAGTGGTTTGTGGATTTGAAAGCACCAGAAAAGGCTGTTTTTCCTGCAGTAGTTTGTGGATTTGAAAGCACCAGAAAAGGCTGTTTTTCCTGCAGTAGTTTGTGGATGTGAAAGCACCAGGAGAGCCTCTTTTTTCTGTAGTAGTTTGTGGATTTGCAAGGGGGGGTGGGGGGGGTCAGGACTGGTTAATGTGATGAGTAGTTCAATGCCGTATTGTCCTGTAATGACACTGATTTAACTGAAAAGCCTCTTTAAGAGACACAGAAGAAGAACAAAAGGCTTCTGTGAGGAGCTGCTGACACACACTGAGGCCTGTGTCACTCATTTCCACCGGCTGATGTCAAGATCTGCTGGATAACAACTTCATTACGGCGCAGATTCACACACACACACACGCGCGCGCACACACAGGCATGGAGGAACAAACTGAATAGTGTGTTCTTGTGTTTTTTAATCTGAAACAGCACATGACTCTGTTTGTGTGTCTGTGTGTGTGTTGAGAGGAAACACCTCCCTCTACATGTGTATCACACGATCTGAAAGCTGAGGGGTCAGTGAACGCATCACAGGGTGAGTCGGGCGAGCAGGAAATCTCCAGAAGTCTGTGATGGAGCTAAAAACACAAGAAGAAGAGAGCAGCAGGTCATGGTTCTGTTTGAGGTTCTGGTTCTGCTGCTGGTTCTGGTTCAGGTTCTGGTTTATCTGCAGGTTCTGGTTCTAGTTCAGGTCCTGGTTCTGTTTCAGGTCTTGGTTTTGCTTCAAGTTCTGGATTATCTGCAGGATCTGGTTCAGGTCCTGCTTCTGCTTCAGGTTCTGGTTCTGCTTCAGGTTCTGGTTTATCTGCAGGTTCTGGTTCAGGTTCAGGTTCTGGTTCTGCTTCTGCTTCTGGTACAGGTCCTGGTTCTGTTTCAGGTTCTGGTTCTGTTTCAGGTTCTGGTTCTGCTGCTGGTTCAGGTCCTGGTTCTGCATCAGATTCTGGTTCTGCTCCAGGTTCTGGTTTATTTTCATGTTCTGGTTCTGGTTCAGTTCCTGGTTCTATTTCAGGTTCTAGTTTAGCTGCAGGTTCTGTTTCAGGTCCTGGTTTTGCTTTAGGTTCTGGTTTATCTACATGTTCTGGTTCTGGTTCAGTTCCTGGTCCTGTTTCAGGTTCTGGTTTAGCTGCAGGTTCTGGTTCTGCTGCTGGTTCTGGTTCCTGATAGCTGGCGTAACAAACAGAGCCGCTTCATCTGTGTCTCAGAGTTCTTGAGTGGAACCAGAAGCAGAAACCGGGTCTCTGAGCTGGCCCGGTTCTGCCTGTCAGGAAGTCTGCGGCCGGCCCCGCTCTGTTGCTCTGGGCTCACACAGGGACACATTCACTGGACCAACACAGAGAGCCACAGTCTCCTGGGGCCCCGCTGCATTGTGGGTAGAAACCCAGAGGCTGTCCAAAAATAGCCTGAGTGGAAACCGCAGCTCCACATCTGCCTGTGTGAAATCCAAGTTTCATACGTTACTAAACTTCTTTGCTCCTTCTGATCCAGAGATCTGGAAAAAGCAGATAAAAGCTTTTTCTTCTGGCAGAGCAGCTGGTCTAAAGGCTCCTGAAGGCACCATGAGCTGCTCCTCCTGCCCCCGATAAGCATCATGAGGGAAGAGAAAGGATCCTTTATCCTCCTGAGAGCCAAGTTTGGTGTAAAATGTCTAAAAACATTTTCCTTTAGATTTCAAACAGTAAAAAAGCAGTAAAAGCTGAGATTTCTGAGCTTTTTGAACACACCAATGATTTTCCTTCATCTAAAGACTTAAAAAGCTTATTTTTAAATTATTTTTATTTTATTTAAAGACCTAAAAAAAGTGTTTTTTCAACTATTTCTATTTAATCTAAAGACCCAAAGATCAAAATTTTCAGTGATTTTCTAAAGAATTCCCCACACAGATGTTCCTCTCCATTTAAATGGATCACACACAGTATCCTCTCCTTTCTCAGGTCACATGGGAAAGCATGCCCTGCTCCCATTGGCCCGTTTGGATAAAATGTCCAAAACCATTTTCCTTTAGATTTCAAAGAGTAGTGTTTGATAGCATCTGCTATGAGGCAGAGAGGTCAAAGGTTAAAGAAAAAAAAGAAGGATCATGGGAAAGAAAGGCAGAAATCCAGCAGAACACGCTCTCAGGAGGGTAACAGATCCAAACCAGCATCAGATTTAGTCTCCACGTGCTTCTTCACCTCTCTTTCCTCTTTTGAGGGGCTTTTTTTGGACCTGACCGTCCAAACACATTAAGAGGTGCCCGAAATGCACCCTGAGACATCCAGGTTCCCTGAATGCATCCTGAGCCCCCTCAGAATCCTCAGCCATCCTCTGCCTCTGTCTCCACAGGTGTACCTGAAGGCACCCATGATCCTGAACGGGGTGTGTGTGATCTGGAGGGGCTGGATCGACCTCCAGAGGCTGGACGG